ATAAAAGGATACGGGTGGCTCTCAAGAGCCCTTTCCCTCGTTTGCATTCTTGATCGGATCTCATTGACTCTCCGTCAATGTTTAAAAGTAACCAACCGTAGACTCCACTTTACTAGCATTCCATTCCTCCTAACATCCCCCAACCGGGCCCGCAATCCAAACGCATGCATTGTGGTATTACTCGAGTATACCGGAATCGAGAGTCTCTCATACTACAAGATTCCTTATAACTTTACCCAAGGCTCATTAATTGTCACGACCAAGCCCTTGCCGGCTCGATTCAATCAACTACCAATGGGGTTGAGCTCTTTGATAACATTTGTAGTCGTTGGATACTCGTCCGATCGGCACCAAGTCATGTATTTCATTTCATATAACATTTCATATAACATTCCAATAACATGCTAAACAACAAGTGAAAGTGATAAAGTACACTCTCATTTCAAACAATTAACATTCAACATCTCAAGTTCAAGTATCAAAATCATATAATAACACATAAGTGAGTAGTACACTCACCACGCTAGCAAATGTGGTTTCAAGCACTTTAGTCAAAAGAACGTTGTGCACCACCGTCACGCCCTAAAAACATGCAAACAAGTACAATGAGACTCGATAACGAGTCATAAACCAAGGCCAAACATGACCCCAATAGGGTTCCATAAGCATATACAAACATTAAAGGAAACCAGAAATTTCGGAAATGTAACTAGCTTTGGCCCTGAAAAAAACAGTTTTTGTCCTCATTTTGCGGTAATGGTACAAATTTCACTACGATTATCGGATGAGGGTACAAGACCCACCATCTCGAAGCTAAAATACAGGGCTACAACATCACAGAAGGTCACTCAACCCAGTTTTGAGTGAAAACAGGTCAAAAATGCAAGATACTACATCAACAACGTAAAACAGATTCACCAAAATGCATTCTAGCGGAAACATCATAACTCAGGCTCTCCAAGTCCAAATCCAGAAATTCCAAAACCAGCTGAAAGCTAAGAAACAGGGCTAAATTTCATCAGAAGGCCTCAACAACCAATTAGGAAGAAATTCCAGCCAAAACAACCAATTACAGGCGCAGTTCTCAATTTCGGGTAAAACCAGAACAGCAATAGTAATTTCGACTTATCTCATTCTACACTACTCCGATTGACCTGAAATTTTGTAGGCACCTCTAAAATGTCATTCCCTACAATTTTCATGTTTTAATCTAAGGACAATTCGGCCTCTATATAGGAACTAAAAATTCGGACAGAATGCTTCCTCAAGAACCCTAGTTTTCTGAAATTTCTTCCAAACCAGAAATTGGTTGCAATTAATCACTTTTTCCCCCTTCTAGAATCATTAAACATCATTTCCAATCATCATAGATAGCCACACAATCATGCTTATATTAAAACAGAAAAATCCCCAAAAATAATAAAATTCCATCATTTCAACCACAAATCAAGAATTAATCCATAATATTGCATCTCTTACTACCACTAAGCATGATTTAAGCATCAATTAAAGGAGGAGGATGGTTCTTCACAACTTACCTTTAAAACAAGAGAGAGAGAGCTATTGACCACCTTAACTTTTCAAAAAACTTCGCACAACAACTCACCAACACTTCCTTAAGTGATTTTATGGAGCAAGATCAAGGTTGGATGGTTGGTTTTGATGATTTGGAACAAGATTGAAGTGTTTTCTTCCTTGTGCTTGGAGTAAGAGAGAGAGAAAGAGAGCAAGAGAGGGCCGGCTTCTTCTTGTTGTTTTTTTGAAGATTTTTGGTCATATTTAAGCTATTTTAAGTCAAATGGTAAGAATAGGAATAGTGGTCTTACTTCAAGACCAATCCAATGGTGACACTTGTCACCTTTAATTAAATATCTACCTAACTTTTCTCTCTCATATCATCCAAATTGCAACCTCTACTTATCTCTTAACACCCGATAAATTAATTCCAGTATTCAAAACTTAACCTAGTTGGCCGAAATTTTCCGAACTTTTCGCACTAGTGGGTCCCACGTCCGGTATATGCTCCTAATTTCTCAAAATCCATTCGATACTAGAAAAATCATCTAAAAATTATATCTGCTCCTTAAAATTATCTAGAAAATTTTCGAATCACGAAAATGCAGAAAATAAGCCATGAAAAATACGAGAAACCAAGAAAATGAAAATTACGGGTTCTCACAAGAAAGGATTTACTTAATTCCTTTTTCAACCTGTCAATTTTTATAGTATCACGGGCAACAATCAACATGTCATCTACATATAGCAAGAGAATAACAAAATCACCATCTGAAAAATTTTCACATAAGCACAGTGATCAGATGTAGTCCTGTGGTACTTGTGGTCTATCATGAAGGAGTCAAACTTCTTGTACCACTGTCTCGGTGCTTGTTTCAATCCATATAAGTTCTTCTTGAGACGGCATATAAGATTTTCCTTGCCACTTTCTTTGAACCCCTCCGGTTGCTCCATGTAGATCTTCTCTTCCAAGTCACCATGTAGGAAGGCTGTCTTCATATCAAGTTGCTCGATCTCTAAATTTAGACTGGCTGCAATGCCAAGAACAACTCGAATTGACGACATCTTTACCACAAGAGAGAAAATTTCTTCAAAATCTACACCCTTCTTTTGACTAAATCCCTTCACAACCAATCTTGCTTTGTACTTCGGTTGTGAGTTATGCACCTGAGTTTTCAACCTGTAAACCCATTTGTTCTTCAAAACTCTCTTACCCTTAGGCAGTTTAACTAAGTCATAAGTATGATTCTCATGCAGGGACACCATTTCTTCTTGCATGGCTCGCAACCAATCTTCTTTATTCTCATGCTCTAGAGCCTCACAGTAGGACTCTGGCTCTCCTCCATCTGTTAACAACAAATATTCATGAGGATTATATCTGCTAGAAGGTCTCCTCTCTCTGGTAGATCTCCTAAGCTCATCCTGTGGTGGTGGTGATGGTGGAGTAGGTGGTGCCTCATGCTCAGGTTCATCAACAGTAGGATTATCACCATCATTAACATTCTCTCTCTGCTCTGTCTCAGCTTCCCCTTGATTAAAATCAACAGGTACTGGAATTGGATCTGGATCTAAATTTGAGCTAGCAGAAATGTCATCTGAAGATTTTGAGTTATCACCTTTATCAATGTCTTCAATGGTTTGATCTTCAAAGAAGACAACATCTCTACTCCTGATCACCTTCTTCTCAATAGGATCATACAACCTATAACCAAAATCTTCATGTCCATAACCCAAGAAAATACATTATTTTGATTTTACATCAAGTTTTGACCTCTCATCTTTGGGAATATGAACAAATGCCCGGCAACCAAAACTCTCAAGTGCTTAAAGGATACATATTTTCCCGTCCATACCCTCTCTGGGATATCACCATCTAGAGAAACTGATGGAGAAAGATTTATCAAATCAACTGCAGTCCTCATTGCCTCACCCCAAAAGGATTTTGGCAGTTTAGCATTAGAGAGCATACATCTGACCCGCTCAGTTATGGATCTGTTTATCCTCTTTGCTACTCTATTCTCTTGAGGAGTTTTTGGTACAGTTTTCTCCAATCTGATTCCACGGGACTTGCAATAGATTTTAAACGGTCTTCTGTACTCACCACCATTATCAGCACGTACACACTTTAACTGCTTACCAGTTTCTCTTTCAATTTTGCTATGAAAGTCTTTAAACACATCCAAAACCTGATCTTTGAATTTCAAAGCAAAACACCAAACCTTTCTAGCAAAGTCATAAATAAAAGTTATAAAATAAATAGCACCACCAAGAGACTTATATTTCATATAGCAAACATTAGTGTGCACCAATTCTAACGGATTCAATTTTCGAGATGGAGAAAAATTTTGAAATGCAACTCTGTATTGTTTCCTATAAATGCAGTCAACACAGGATTTAAGTGCATTACGTCTAATTTCAGGTAGGAGTTATTTGCGAACAAGTGTTTGAATCCCCTTTTCACCCATGTGTCCAAGTCGCCTATGCCAAAGCTCAATTGAAAAATCACGAACTGCATTCACTTCTCCCTTCCTCAACTTGGCTTGCATCACGTAGATGGTACCCTGCTTCTTTCCTCTAGCAACAATGAGATTTTCTTTACTGAGTTTTCATTTGCCTCCACCTTGCAAGTTATGGTAACCTTCATCGTCAAGTTTTTCTGTAGAGATAAGATTAAAGCGAATATTAGGGACATGTCGAGCATTTCTTAATATCAGCTGGCACCCGATATCTGTATCCAAATATATGTCTCCCATGCTAACAACTTTGCATGAGACCTCATTTCCCATCCTAATATATCCAAAATCTCCTTCGGTGTAGGTTGAGAAGAAATGCCTGTGAGGAGTAACATGGTAGGATGCACCCGAATCAACTACCCAATCACTGTCATAATGAATAATCACTACAAGAAATTTGGTCTTTAGTGACAACCTATTCTTGTCACAAAAAAATAAAAAGTCATCACTAATGAATTTTACTGACAACTTTCCGGTCATCACAGGGTCGTCACTGAATGCCGTCGGTAAAAGTATACACCGATGACTTAAAAGTCGTCAGTGAATAAGGAGCTTTTGTGACAACTTTTCTCATCAGTAAATGCTTTAAGTTTAGTGACAACATGGCTTCTTGTCAATGATGCATGAAGCAATATCGTCACTAAAACTCAACAATAGTCATCAGTATATGGTCCAATTACTAACAATTTTGTCGTCACTAAACACCTTTCAATAGTGACAACATATTGCTGTCAATATAGAATTTAACTCAGTTACAACAATTGTTGTCAATAAAGGCACCTAATTTACTGACAATAGGCGCTTGTCATTGGAGAAATGTGTTCAGTTACAATATCTTGTCATTGTGTAGTTTGATGTATTTCTTGCTAAAGTAATATAAAAAAATGAGAGCCACCAACAATGCTTAATGAATAACAAACACATTCACCCATTACAATAGAAAATGCCAAAATATCATAATAATCCTTCCAATATCATAATCATGTGCAACATCATATTATAAAGAGTTTGACAAGTAGTATTAGAGTGAGTTGTATCACATAAGGCAAGGGAGCAATACAAAACGAATCCAAGTCCCAAAACATTTTTGTGTTATACGAAACATTTCCTAAGCATAAGATAGCACTATAACTAGTCTTTGAGTCAATAAGTAGCCTCGGCTACTCATCTTCCAAAACTCTAAAATGTGCAATATATCTGCAATAGAAAAATACAATTATTAGTAGATGACAAAACAAACTTGAGACAAGGAAAATCAAATGAGGATTCACAAAAAAATAAAGTCTCATTTATTTAAACTCTCATCCAAATAGTGACTACATAAAGAGCAGAATAAGAGACAAAATAAAAGCAAAGATAGCTCTTAATATGCACATAGGAACCAATTGTAGAGAGTAAAAACCAGGTATTGTCACAGGCAAAGGAAATTGTTAATATCAAAGACGTATAACAGCCTTCAAATTTCCTAAATAAAAAACAAAAGTAACAAGCATTTACTAAATTCTTTGGCAAATTACATGTTAATATTGTCACAGACCAAGGATTAAGGTTCAATAACTTATGCTATTTTTGAATTGCAACAGCCATTGTATCTATAATAAATATATGTCTTAGTCACAATTTAAGGTCTCATATATGCTGGAAAATTACAAGAGTGTCTCATTTACAAACATAACACAATTTAGACAAGTATATATAGTTGAAAATTGCTTACCATTCAATATGAGTAGATGTGTCTTGGTTCTGCATTTCACTTTGTTGGTTTACAAGCCTCTCCATAAGTTGTTGGGATTGAACTGCCATTTCCAATTCAGCTGAGTGCTTTTTGGCTTGTTATACTCTTTTCTTGAATTCTTCTCTCTCTGAAAGTTATTGTGCAATTACAATAGATTTTGTTCCAATTGTGTGAGTGGTTTTTGCTTTGAACTATTGATCTTATTCCTCTCACTCATCTTCTGCACTTATGAAGTTTAGCCAAGATCAAAATCAATAAAGATATGAGTAATAAGAGTAGTAAAGATCAAAAGTCAGCCTATGCGCAAATCAAATTTGGACTACAGGAGTAGTCAGAAAGGTAATTCTAACCTAATTCATCAATATCTGGTGGACGATTTGCAAGTGCATTGTAGCCTTTAGTACTCTAGCGTGACAAATAGGCTTATGCTGGAAAATCACTTGTTGTCCATAAAAGGGTAGCAAGTAACATAAATTTTTCTTCTATGGCTGCGTCATAAGTCTCAAAGCCAATGTCAAATAATTCTTTTAGCTCAATAATTAAAGGGCTAAAAAATATATCCATATCATTTCATGTGCATTTAGGACCTGGAATAATCATTGATAATAGGAAAAATGGCTCCTTTAAGCATTTCAAAGGTGGAAAACTATAAGGAACAAGGATTACAAGCCACATATTGTATGCATTATTCATATATCCATTAGTTGAAAGCCCAAGCCTAACACTGCGAGGATCACAGACCAAGGATTGAGAAATTTCAGTAACACATTGGCGGATTTGCAAGTCCATCAATTCATGGTTTTCAAAAGAAAGATATGGACAACAAAGAAGAGTTTGGAGTACTTATCACAACCTAGGTAAAGACTTTTTTCAGCTTCGGATAATAATCTAAGAAACCTACTTGCTTCCCCTTCTTGCTCATTTGAAATTCCCCTATTATATTCCCCCGAATTTCTCCAATTCTCACCAAAGTTAGCTGCTTCTACGTCATTTAACATTTCCTGAATATCATCGGACTCACTATTTTTTTCATCTATATTTATGTTGCCATTTTCATCATCATCAGAATCTTCAAAGTTTTCACCATGATATACCTATCTAGTATAGCTCTAAACAATTCCACCACACAAATGACTTTTTACGACCTCCCCTCCATAGTTTGATCTTCAAAGTTGTTGCACATTTTACTTGGACAAGGGAGCTTATATGTGGGATCCTTGGATAAATAAGGAAACTCAACAAATTCTTTCACTCCTGTCAAATATCTAGGATCTAGGTAATCTTTAATTGACATCCAACTCTCATTCATGTTCATGTTTTTTTGCCCTTTATCCTAACAAAAAAAATGCAACCATGATATTATAATGAAGACACGGCAGTTAATTTAATCTTCCCAAACAACAACAATGAAAAGTAAACAAAATGGAACACAGCTATATTTGAGAGTGTCACGAACTGGAGCAAGAATACAAAAGTACAAAAAAATCATAGTAATTAGTCTTAGCTATTAAATCACATTAACCACTGTGCACCTACATATGCATTATATACATAGTGCACTGAGTAGCTGTATAGCAACATTACAATTTTTAGGATGATTTAGAAAGTATAAATTTATAGCAAATTGGACTGGCTATAAACTGGCTATAAATAACAGAAAAAAAGAAGCAAAGAGGAGATAGAGAGTATAAAGGTATCACAAGCGAAAACGGTAGCTTGATTGGAAGATTGTAATATCCTAGACCCGAATCCGAATCCGAATCCGAAGCCTCTGTCAACAGGTTCAATTGCTACAAATAATAACAAAAATCAGTCGACTGCAGGAGAGATTAAGAAGCTAACTTGAAGCTAATACAAGCACTAGAAAACTATAGAAAGAATTATTGGTCCTAAAACTAATTGAGAGCCCTCTTGGCCAATAAGTCAGCAAATGATAATGCAAAAAAAAAAAAAGGAAGCTGAATCAATTACTCTCACACAAACGACTCAATTAAACCATGCAAAAACTTCCAAAAGGAAGGAAAAGAAAATTACTCCTATCATATTCATTAATTGGCAAGAAAATCAAACACAAATCAGAAATATTTACTAGTTGATAAAATCATCCCTCGAAAATAATGAAAAGATGCTACTTTTTAATGATAACTATAACTTGCATCATAGAAATCAGTCAAGACATAGGCAAAGCAGATCTTCCAACAAACACCTTCCTAACTCCCAAGAATGCATGAATTTTAGATCAAAATCATGTCTTTGTAGTTCCTTTCCTGTAAATAACATAAAATTTTTTTACATCCATCGACATGTTAAATTTGAAATGAAGCTCAAGAAAGTTGCAAGTGGTTCTTGAGACCCATTTCTTAAATATCAAAACTTGAGTTGCATTCATCTATAGTAACATAAAGCAATGAACCAAGAGTGGCAAGAGTCCAAAGGTCGATCTATTTCTGGGAATTGAGGAGATCCCTTTTCAGGAAATAGGCAAAAATTACCAATTGAAACCAAATAAATAAGAAACAGGTCCATACATAGAAAACTTAGGTAATGTGAAGGAGAAAGCACACTCCAAATGGATAAACAGTTCACTCTTCAAATTTCCATGTCAATTTACCAAATTTTAACCCAAAAAAATACATCTTTCATTGCAGAAAAAATAACCTTTGTAGCTTTTGCTCTAAATTCCTAACTTGGGGATAAAAAAAAAAAGAAGTGGTTTGTGTTAAAGCAAAAGTAAACAGCAATGTCATTGCCACCATACTATTTCATTCCTCCCAAAGAAAGTAATTATGGACTGAAGTGTTTTTGGTTTCCCTTGTATATGTGTATCACGAACCAAATTTATTGGTTCTATTTGATCCAATTACTCTTAAGTCTTAATTGCCTCAAATGAATTTGACATTATTGTCACCTTGGTCTCGAACATATTTTTCATAAATATATATATATATATATATGTATGTATGTATTGACGAAATCAAGAAATTTGAATCTTCATCTCTTAATTAAAGCTCCAAAAAGACAAAGAAGAAATTTCTTCCAATCCAATTAATCCAAATTATTCTTGGTAACTACTAAACATGGTGGAGGACCGATGACGTTGCATAACATGCAAGGACAAGTGAACAAAAAGAAAAGGTTCCAAGATAACATTGATGGTGTAAGGACCCGTAAAATTTTCTTATTTTATTTCTTCATATGAAATTTTCCTTTTCTTTACCTTATTATATTAATTTGCTAGATTTTTTATAAGAAAGAATAATTTTGAAATCATTTTTGCAAGTATAAGTTAGTTTATGGGACATTAGTAGTGTATATTGTATGTGGGGCCCGCTAGTGCGTTACGTGTGTTAAATTTCAATAATTAAGTGAATTTGCATACGGGGATATTATTGTACAAGGTGTTAGGAGTTAATTAGAAATTGGTTAGATCAATTACCATTGGAAGTTAAGAGGATTAGATCAAACCCTTAAAGGTGCCAAGTGTCATAACCCTATTGCAAGTTGGACTTTGACTAATTTTCATCACCTTTACTAAACCTCAAAATTGACCAATTTCTTTCCATTTTGAGCTTGCCTTGGCCGAACCTCTTGGAGCAAAAATACAAGAGAAGCCTTCCTTTTCCACTTCAATTTTTGCTCAATCCTTGAGTTCTAACCATCAAGAGTTCTAATCACTCCATAAAAGTGTTAGCCAAGATAGTTTCCAAGGTGTTTGTGGAGTCAATTTGGGAGGAAGAAACCTAAGCTACTACCTTTCTTGAGGTATCAGGGTATGGTGTGTACAAATTCATATTTTGTTCTTAATAATGGTTTATTAGTGGCTTTTGTGGTTAAATATGTTATTTGTAGTAGGTTTGATGGTTGGAAGTGGAGTTTTGATGGATTTTTGATTTATTATTGATTTTTCTGTTTTTATATAGTAATTATTGTTTAGTCATGGATTGATGGTTTGTTATAGTGTAAAATGGAGTTGGTATATGTTGGATATGATTGGTTGCGGAAAATTTCTGGTTTGGTGCAAAAATTCCAGTTTAGGGTTTCAACTAACCCTGTTCTGCCCGGTTCTGTTCGGCCATGATGGAAGCCGAATCGGCCTTAGGTTAAAACATGAATGTAGGAAATGATGTTTTATAGCTGCCTGTAAAATTTCAACTCAATCCAAGCACTGTAGCATGTGAAATGACCGAAATACTCTTGACTGTCCATGAGCCATGTTTCGTGGACAGATTTCTGTTTTTGTGGAGATTTCCATTTTTTACCATGAAAATGCATGATTTGGCTTTGGAGGTCTTCATAAGAAATGTAGGTTTATGTCTTGGCTTCGAAACACCATAAAATTCGTTTCAATCCGAGAAGTGTAGACTCAGTTGTGGTTATTATGCCGAAAGGTGTGTGTTATAGTCTATGATTGGTATGTGGTTGATTTGAGCTGAATTGGTGTTGATTGTAGGATAGAAAAATAAGGAAATGTAGGGGATATGCTGTCCAAATTTTGGGAGTGTAGGATTTCTTCAAGTTTGGTTTGGTTTGGTTTGGGATATATATAAGAAGGGCTTTTGGGGTGGTTCGAGCCCTAGGTTTTCATGTTACCTTTTCACATGTTTTGCGCCCCTTACATGAGTCATTATTTGGTGAGTTCTATGACTTGTAGTCGAGCCTCATTTGTGCATTTTATTTACTGAATTTGTGGCTATGGGAACCATATTTGTTTACCTTGGTTATTCTAGGGTTTCTTGGTGATTAGAGCCCTACTTTGGTTGAAACGTTTGCGTATCCTTGCTTTAACCGGTGAGTGTACCATTCCCTTGAATTGTTGTTTAATTGGTTCATCTATACTTGAAATTTGTGACATGGATAACTATGAACACTGTTGTTCAGAATGAGACGAGGGTGTACTTTATCACACTCGTTCTCTTGCCTGTACTGTATGAACTGAAATCTATTACTTGTACTTGTTATGAACTCGAACTTGTTACTTGCGCTTGTTATGAGATCGTTAGGAAGTGTGTCCAACGACCTTCCTGTTAAACTTGAGCTCAACCTCATGGGAAGTTAATTAAATCGAGCCACTAAGGGCTTGGTCGAGGTAATTGACAATCCATGGGTGCCTATTTTTGGGGAATCTTTGGGTATTGGAGACTCTAGATTTCCGGTATACTCGAGTATTACCATTTTCGTTCTCGTTTGACGTTCGGGCCTGGTAAGGGGGTATGATTGGTGAACGGGATTTGGCGTTAAAGTGGTGTTCTACTGAATTGGTTTCCTTATTTGAAAGTTGACGGAGGATCAATATAGTCGGATCAAGTACTGCAACGGGGATTTGGCTCCTGAGAGCCACCTGTATCCTTTGATTTGTGGTGTTCATTCATTTCTTTTATTTGACATGTATATGTGCTTTAAAGAGAAGTATCATGATTTGTGACTGT